GAGAGTCTAGTGTCCAGGATATTTACGTTATGGAGATGACAAAATGAGAGAACACCTCAGGAGGTCGCTGAAACGCAAAATAATCATTCCGTAATCACGCCAGAACTACAAAATGCTTGAATAACCTTCAACGCCACCGAACATTGAAGAGTTGAATAGGACACAGGCCGACCCTGCCACAGTTCTTGAAAAGCTGTTGGAGCTCCACCCAGGAAATTCCATACTGTGTGCAGACGCCCCATTCGCTCCAATTTGCAGCCCATTTCAACGCCCCTAAAATTAACACATGCTCCCACAAGAATAGGGAGATGCCACTCACCAATCCATATTCGAAGGGAGACACGGGCAGAACTACAAGTGCTCTCAACCTGTGGCACATTTACTAGTGGTGTAGAAATTAAAGCGTAACCTAGTAGGTGGCCATATAGGGGGAAGCATAGACAAGTGGGGTACAGAATGCGAAGATATACATGGTTTCCAAAATGGCAACTCCTGTGTCTCGAACCTTCCGTTAGCCTGTGGTAAGTGCAGGTGTACTGGAGCCTCCAAGTCATTGTTTCTTGATTTTCTTCGGCTTTTCTGTGGTCGTTGATACAGTATCACCCGCCATTGTCATGCGCAAAATAAAACGCTCGGGTGTAAGCGGTCATGTACTACCGTTAACTGAGGACTAAGTAAAAGCCAGAGGGTACTGAGAGAAGTCAAATGGTCTTGCCTAACTTGAGGAAAATCATCGTCTGGTGTACTAGGAGGAGGGCTCCTGGGTTCGCTTTAGCTCCTTCCATCCGGCCAGAACACCCCGATTATGTCATGGAGAGGGGCGACATCGAAAACACCAGAAGGTTCCCGGCAGGTTGACTTCAGACCGCTTTCAAGTTCGGTGAGTAACGAAGGACTAAAATATAATCCAGATAAAAGTCAAACAATGTCTAAAACTTCACCCAACTTACAAAAGGCATCTTAATCTATTTGCGGTGTGCATCTTTCTCACGTACACCAGGAAAAAGATTTGAACCTTCCTGAAAAATCTCGAGGCGAGCCTTGACAGGAGTTGTGGGAGTCCCATAAAGAAACCAATGAGAACAGGCTGGAAGATCTCAGCCCCCTTTTCGCAATGACAACGGGTTACTTGGTGACTTGATAACGATCTGTGAGGCACTAGGTAATCCAAGCAGCCCGAAAGGTGAAATTCTACAGAACAGTCAATATGGCTTTATTTAAGGAATCAACAAGCCTATCTCTCATCAGGGGATGGACACTTGTATGCGCTCGCACCTTAGCTCTCTCTTGTTTTTCAGCCACTGATTCCCAGTTCCTGTCAAGACTGCTACCTTTCCATCCATTGACAGCTGTGGGAAGAGGCCGTCTTAACGACTTCCTCTGCAAATTACGATTCCGTAGTCATTGCCGGCGACTTCAACACCCCGTCCATCCTCTTCGAGACGGAAGGGAGACGCATCAGATCCTTCAATCAGAAGCTGAAGGATGCAATTAAGACTGCTGGCCTCTCAGAGAAAGTGGGTGATGCTACACGCTGGGGACCTAACGGAAACGCATCGCGCCTTGACTACGTTCTGACGAACGATGAACTTCTCATTGAGGATGTTTGCATCCAACCTCCCCTTGGCCTCAGTGACCACGCTGTAATCACCTTCTCCATGATAACTAGGGAGGCTCTGCAACTGGAGACGCCCAACACCTTCCCTTGCTACAGCAAGGCCAACTATGAGACCATGAGGGACTACCTCATGAATGCATCATGGCCAGTGGACTGGACTCATCTCACAATAGATGAACACTGGTTGGAGGTGAAGAAAATAATCACTGGGGCCATCAGTCACAGTGTACCAGAAGTAACACACAGACAATCAATGAGAACCTCATGGTTAAAGCGTGGGACAGAGAGGCTTATCCGGAGCAAGAAGCAGGCTTGGTTCAAGTGGCTTACATCACGCAGGGAGTCTGACTTCTTGAACTACAAAAGGATTCGCAATCTCTGTAACATTAGAGTGCGTAACGACAGATTTTCCTACCAAACAAACTTGGCAGCGAGGTTACAAAGCAACCCCAAAAACCTGTACCGCTTCATGTCAAGAAGAAAGTCGACCAGTAAGGGAGTGAATCTTGTCACAGGCCATGACGGGAGTGTGCTAAGCAGTCTAGAGATTGCCGAGCTTTTGAGCTCACACTTCCAAGCCCAACTCAGCACTGACACAAGATCCACACCGACTCGCCACGACACCGACCAGGTCGCAAATAACGAATACCTCTGTCACGTCTCTATTACAGAGAAAAAGGTGTTCGAGAAGCTATCTAGGCTACGTCCGGGCAAGTCCCCTGGCTGCGATAACCTGAAACCAGTGGTTCTGAAAAACTGCGCCGAGGTGCTTACCAAACCACTTCGCAACCTCTTTGAGCACTCAATAGACTCGTGCAAACTCCCTAAAGAATGGAAGAGTGCCATCTTGTCACCCATCTTCAAGGGAGGAGACAGAAAAAGCCCTGGCAGCTACAGGCCGATTGCCCTACTCCCTATTGTGTCGAAAGTGTTGGAAAGCCTGGTAGCTGACACCATCTGGGAATTCCTCAATAGAAAAACACTGTCCACACTGCTCAGCACGGCTTTCGTAGTGGTCGCTCATGTGCCACCAACTTACTAACGCCTGGGACGACTGGACACAAAGCTGGGATAATAGAAAACCTGTACATGTTGTATTTCTCGACCTAGCCAAAGCATTTGACAGTGTCCCACCCACAGTACTGCTTCACAAGATCATGTCAGCTGGTATAAGTGGACCCCTACTCTCTTGGTTCAAGGAGTACCTGGAAGGGAGGCAGTTCTGCACTAAAGTGAACAGAATAAGGTCGGAGTGGAGACCCTCGACGTCAGGAGTATCCCAAGGAGCAATCCTAGGACCGCTTCTGTTCCTCCTGTTTGTCAACGATCTGCCAGACAAAATATCCTCACCCATCCTCCTCTTCGCTGACGACATAAAAATTTGGAGGGTGGTAAACGAAGAAGCCGATTGTGCAGCACTACAAAAGGACTTGCAGCAACTCGAGCTCTGGTCGTCGGAAAATGGCCTGAGCTTCAACCTGGAAAAGTGCAAAGTAATGCACATCAGTAAAAATGAGGCAAGTACGACCGACTTCCAGTACATGTTGAGCAACCGTGCTATCACCAGAGTGTCCATGGAGAAAGATTTGGGGCTCAACTTCTCCGACACCTTGGACACCAGCTCCAACTACAAAGGTATGACAACCAGAGCGAACGCCATTCTACACTTTCTGCGTAGACAGCTTGGCGCCCTCACTCCCGAACTCTTCCTCACCATTTTCAAATCCTACGTGCGGCCGCACCTAGAGGTCTTCAATACGGTGGCTCCTCCAACACTCAAGAGAGACTCTAATCTCCTTGAAAGAATACAAAGAACTGCAACAAAATCAGTTGTGGGGCTAAGGGGAAAGACGTATCCTGAAAGACTTAAACACCTCAACCTATTTACCTTGGGTTATCGCAGGAAAAGGGGTGACCTCATTATGGCATACAAGATCGCCCATCAGGCAGACCATGCAAACAAATCAATTTTGCCTGCAACTGAACGATCTTCACGAGGAAACCCCATTAAGATAGCACACCAGAGAGCCAACACCACACTCAGGTCCAAATTTTTCTCCCTAAGAGTATGTGCTTTATGGAATGCCTTACCGCGACACATCGTTATAGCTCCTTCAATCGACTCTTTCAAGAGGCGATTAGACAGTTATGTCACCTCGCATGGACTACCACGGACGTACTCAGGTAGTCACCAACCTCAGTCCCCCCAACTCCCTCCTAACTACCACTCACTATCTCTCTCCTTAATACACCCACATTACCTACTAATTCTTCTGTAGGAACCAAACCCACGCGACCATTCGGGCAATTCCCAAATACTTTTCTTTCGTTCTCATTTCTCTTTTCACCCCTCCTTCTCTTCTCTTTCCCTTTTCTCTTCCCTATATTATTATTTTTTCCTTTTTTTCTCTTCCTTATTCTCTCTTCATTCCTTTACCACTACCTTACTATCCTTTTTCAGGTACCTACACAGACAGGAGTCACGGCAGTTCTTTAACTTCCCAGCAACCCGTAGCTCCCTAATCACTCTACAAATTACAACCTACTAACCCACAAAACATCCACCTCACCGAAGCTAAAAGCAAGAAAGCAGAGGGGATTTCCTCGTCCACTGCAGGAGTAAACCGAACACCTCGAACCAAGCCCTAAGAACTAGATGCGAGAGATCAAAAACTACCAGTTTTCTACGCTCGCACTATCAATATTGGATATTGGATTGGACAGCTCCGTAGAGACGCTTGCGCCCATCCAGCTGGGATATGACCAAAGACAAAACAACCGACACTATCCCACACCATTTCAACGGAGAGAATCCTTTGTCGGTTCTTTTATAATGCTACTATTTTCACGAATGCAACTCAAACCTACGCTTTCTTCGTAGACGTCTCATCCCTCCAGTTACTATAACTCCACTATCATCACCCTTCATAATACATTTTCACGACAGCAATCCTACCTGTTCCTTTCCCTCCCTCTGACTCTCCTTGATTTCACTCAGTTTATTCAGTTCATCCTTATTACTGTTTTCTCTCCCACCTTCCCCGAATCTATCAAAGTTCCTCTATTCCTTTCTTTTCAATCAGCACCCAACCCCCCCGTCGGGCTAACTAAAGCTACAGCAGGTGAGTGAATAGATCTACTGTATCAGAATCCACCAAAGATCTTGAGTTGTTCCGCAAGACCTAGAAGCGGTCTCATAGGAACCAACTATCTTACACCAACTCTTAAAAAGATATTAGATATTGGGTACTTCTTTTTATTTTTTCTCCTCCCATCCCCTTTTCTCTAGCCGAATATCTCTAAATTATTTTTATCTTCCTCTTACAACCAGTCCAAACAGCTATGTGGTAAAACGCGATTTGAAAAGCATAGCTTAGTTTTACTTCTCTAAACTTTGACCTTCAGAGTACAAGCCTCGTTGTTCTATTCCAATTATTTTATGAGTTCAGTCATACGCAAAAAAGTGGTTGTGGTTGGCGATGGTGCGTGTGGAAAAACTTGTTTGCTAACTGTCTTCTGTAAAGGAGAATTTCCTAACGTATATATTCCAACAATATTTGAAAGTTTTGTTTCGGATGTACAAGTTGAGAATAAAAATGTAAATTAATTATAAATAAGTTTATTTAAGTAGGTTGAGCTTGCTCTTTGGGATACAGCCGGACAAGAGGACTATGACAGGTTGCGGACAGTATCGTATCCCGACACAGATGTGGTAGTACTTTGCTTCAGCGTAGACAGTCCTGATAGCTTGGAAAATGTGGAGGAAAAGTGGATGCCTGAAGTATGTGTTGTTTGAATCCTGTAAACGCCACACAGATAAAAACCTTTTTACCAGGTATTCCTGTAATACTTGTAGCAAACAAAAAGGATCTGAGAGATGACGATGTAACTAAGCGAGAACTTTGCAAGATGAAACAGCAAACTGTTTCCTATGATCAAGGTAAATACATGGCACAGAAAATCCACGCCGAGGCATACGTTGAATGCTCAGGTAATTTGTAGCATACGCAGCATTTTCTTCAGCAAAAAACAAGGATGGTGTTAGAGATGTGTTTGAGACTGCTGCTAAGATAGCCCTACGCAACAAAACGAAAAAGCATCGATGCCTTATTACATGAATTATTCGTGAATAAACGCCAAGAATTGCGATGAAAGCTTTATGAAGCCAATATCTGTTGCCACAACCTTCGTATTATTTCACTTACAGTGATTGTGTGAAAACATATTGTACATACTAATAAGAAGTCATTTGAGCACCAAAAGCTTTGTGCTCTTTAGTTTTCTGATTTAACCTTTGTGCTACTTAAGTAAGAGGATATAAATGTCCCGTAATAAACTGGAAGTAACAGTTATGACTACTTGATGTTGGTAAAGCTGGGTAATCATAATTCACATATTAGTTATGTGAATATTTAAAGTTCAAACAAGTTACATATTACTGGTCACATTTTGTCTGAAGTACTGATGATAAAGAAGATTCCAAATTTAAAGAAACCTCTTGATTTCAGGGTTTTGGCGAAACTTTGCCTTTTTCGAAGTTCACTGAATATATTCTTTCCACAGTGTCCTCCGGATGTTAGTTTTCTCCATAATCGTAAACTATTTCTAATGAGTTACATGGTTTTTCTTGGCAAACCTAACAAAAGGTATCAGGAAGTCGTCTAAACTGCTTGCAATGATGCTAGAATTTGACGACAAATAATGTGAAGTTGACTATGCACACCCTTGAGACAGAATCCGATAAGTTGCTGGTGTGGTGAAAGAATCGACTGATGCTTACTAGCACAAATAAGTGTGTATCACCAACTACACAGCATAAGAGGGGCAGAAGTTATCACACTAATGCGATTCCTTTACCATCTATATTAACTGTGTGGGCAGAAAATGAAGAACATTTTTTAGGCCAATAGGTAATAACTTCAGCGCTCTCAATATAACCCAATTCGGAATTTGACTGAAGAATCTTTTGCAAACTGTGTATTTTCGCTCTACAAACAATTATGATTTGTTGATGAAATTCAAAAAACAACTGTCTATTATAAACTGGACAACAAGTTTGACCAAAATGGAATGGATCCCAAAATCAAACTGTCTTTCTGTCTTATATCCTGAGCAAAGAGAAGGCCTTTATCTAGTTTTTAGGGCTTTAGTTAATGATTCTATGGATTATGCACTTTCTTCTTCCAACAACGCTAAGAGTACGCTGAAAAATGTAACAGAGGAGTTTAGGAGTCCATGGCAAATCATTCCATGGATTATTATGTCGTTTCGAGTCGAATGATCAACCCTTGAAATCTGTTTTCAGTCACTAGAAAGGATTCATATATAGATTTAGCTTTGTTTGAAAATAGAAGGCTAGGGACCTATTTTAATCTTTTCCCAGCAGATCTCTATACTTGTCGAGTCCTGTTTTGAAAACTTAATTTGATGATGTGGACATCAGTTCTTCCAGGAGTTGGTTCCAGGAGGTGACTACTCGACGGGAGAACCAGTACTCTGCGGAGACTGCGTTTCCTCTTTTTTTGTATTCTATTGCTTTGTCCTCTGTGGTGTCCTGACGGAGTGGGAAGGAAGAGAAACGATAGATAAGATCCGGAGTTATTTCCCAGAATCCTGTATAGCATGAGTAGATCTCCCCTCTGTCCTCGATAAAAAGACGAGGTTCAGCTCCTTAAGCCAATCTTCGAATGTTAGGTCAAACATCGCATAGATACTATGAGTAGATGACCTCTAAACTGTTTTCATAAGATCTGAGCCACCACTCAGACAAAATTCCCCACTGTGAACAGTTTTCTAGTCTAGAAGTAACTAAGTATGTGCATAAGGTGGTGAACCCATTAGAAACTTATCGGTCTGCAAATTGGAGGGTGCTTTCTGGAACTTGCCTTGTAGAAAGGTGTGACTATGGCGTCCTTATAATCAAGGGGAGTATGCCTTCACTGACGGACTGTCTAAATATTGTTGTCAATAGCTCGGCAACATAGAGTGCAAGATCTCCGAGCGGTCTTGTGTGCAGCGCATCAAGTCCCGTTGATTTTTCTACATCCAGAGTACTTAGTGCCTTGAATACATTATCGCAGTTGTTGTCCACAAAGTTTATTTAGTTGGACGTCGGTGTTTCACTGTTGAGTTAGTGACCACAGAAGGTTTCAGGGTAAAGACCTGAACAAAATATCAAGCGATAGCTTTTTTCTTTTCCTTATAAATAAATAGATGGCTTATGTCTTGTTGATTAGGGGGGGTTTACCACGATATGTCCTAATCTTCATATAGGAACATAACATCTTCCGATGTTGCAGTGCAGCCTCAGCAATAAATAATTCAAATCGTATTCGAGATCAGGAAATAGCAGCAGTGCATTCATTCTAGGGTTCTTCGTGATGTTTCTTTACCCCGGAAATATCAAGATGGGCGGTAAAACTTCGACACATTTTCTTGAGTCACAGCCAAATTCAGATTTCACGGTTTATCAACGGGCGACAAAGTTTCCATCTCTTCAGAACAGTCCACGGAATGGACGGTTGGGTCACAAGTGCATATAACGGTTTAAAACAGCAACATGCCGCCTCAAATTAGGTTTCTGAATCGACTGAATAGTCCTTCAAAAAGGCTGACAAGTTAAGTGCTGCCATATTCGCTTTACACACATTGCCTCTAGTTGGGGAATCAGCCTGGTACAAGAGGGCTGCTGTAAATCTGAAGATGATTACAGCATGATCACTTTTACCAGGAGAAGCAAGGTACCTGCTGAAGTACATACATCATCTGTGTGCGAGAATACTGAGTGTAGAACTGATAGAGCAGGCTAATGAGTGCCAAAGAAATTGGTGTTTCTACTAACATATGATCAAACAAATTACATGATTCTTCCGTTGTTAATCCGTCTCAGTCAGCTGATGATGAGTTGAAGCCTCCTACAACTAGGCATCGGCAGTTATCTGTTCAGAAGTGTAGCTTATTAAGGAGGAAGTATTCTGCTTTACATTCAGAGCTTCATTATACTACGATTAGGTTAAAATTTTGTCTTCTGCATTTTATTCAGCAGCGCAGCATTTTACATATCCCAATTTCGTGTGCAACCGCTCCCGTGGCTCTCACAGTCCAGGTAAAGGATGACACTGCCACCTTTGTGTGATAATTTATCACTTCTAAAAGAAACGAACCCTAGTAATGTGTTTTACTGTCACGGTTTTCAGAAGAAAGCCAATTTTCTGGGATAGCAATAATGTCAGGACTTTCTACGCCCATTGCATAACGAAGCCCAGTTCATTTGTTCAGGAGACTGCGTCCATTTTTGTATAAGACTATAAAATCACTTAAATGAGTATTCGCACAATCCATGGGGGTTGCAGTATCATCTGTCTCCAAAACCTTACAGCATGAGAACCTACCATTTATAGATCTTTCTCTCCTGCTACCAATTTGGATTTTAGCTCTTCTTCCGCTTCTCCTCTGTGATTCGGTTAGCAGGGAGCAAATCTTTACACACGAACACTCTAGTTCTTTGAAGTCTGTGGAGGTTCTTCCTAATAGGATTCCTCTCTTCGTCTGCTCCGCACGTGACTTTAAGTAGCCAGAATCCATTTGCGGAAGGGACTGTCTCTCTTTTACCTACTCCACATATCTTAAGTAGGGTGACCCCTGGTATCTTTTCCAAACAGAGATTTTTACCGAACTTTGTATCTTGCCAAATACTTGTCCGAAACAATTACATGGTTCTGAGTCCTTACTTTCTTCCAATCTGTGGAAGAGTACAAACCTTTTAAGGAGCTCTGCTTTGTCTTTCTCCGCATAATGTTGACAACTGGTTTTATGACCGTTACTGGCTTTTTGGTATGTCATTTAGCTCTAATTACCTGCGATTTCTCAGAGCGGTGTGTGCAAGGCTGACGAAGGCCTGGTTCCGTAACCATGATACTTACAGTCACAGAAGGAATTTTCATACCCTTGTGTGTGCTTGTGGTCATTAATTGGGTTACCGAACTGGTTAGGACCTGCAGCCTGTAAAATTCTTTATTGGTATAAAAAGTGTTCCACAACTGTTTCTTTGATAGGAAGTTGACCTAATCTTACGGTCGGTGGTTTTGAGAATAGGTCTGCTAGCTCTCTGGATGCGTAAACATGAAGATACTCACTTCACCCTGCTTTGTGTGGTTTATTTTAGGCCGCCGTTTACGCGTCTGACTTTAAGTTTATCGCGGGACATCCTTAAAAATCGTTAAAGCGATCTGTGTGTCAACAGAGGCCATGTCATTGTGGCTATTACACTTTCTCTCTGGACGTCAGCTTCTTCGTGATCCTATATAGGAGTGCTTTTGCTTCTTCAAACCGCTCATGAATATCTGGGCAGCACAATAGGCAAACTCAGACACTCCCTGCATTACGATACCTTTCGTATGTTGATGGCATTAAGCTTGTCCAATTACCGTGGTACCAACTCTGATATTCAGGGCACTGAATACCAGAGGCCACTACAAAGCGGCACCCCGCCCTGAAGCAAGCACTTTCCCAACCCTTTTGGTTGATTATCTCTCAGAGACTGAGAATAAAATCGATAAGACATTTGAGTTAGAAAAAGAAAAATAATGAGTTACCGTTGCAAAAGTACGAGAAAAAACTGCTTGGACCGGAAAAAACACAATTACTTCTAACCAAGCGGTTAACTATAAGAAATTCACCCAGAAAAACGTTCTGACTTCGATCGAAGATCATTTCGATTAGAGCAAAAGATCAATAGACTTAAATGTGTAAACGCAAAACATGCTAAGAATCCAGCTAGACGTGGAAGTGTCGACCCCTTTTGAAAAAGCACGCTCCTATATTTGAAAAGATACAAAGGTCATTTACGGAAAGAATTATAGCAGCCGTCATGAACATAAGTTGAAAACTGGATAAAAATCACTTCTATGATATGCCTTATCGACCGAAAACAGCATTCTGATTATTTTCAGGTGATGCATCTTGTGCAGACACAATAAAGAAAAAGTATCTTTTGGGTGCCATCGTGTCAAATGTATGAGCATATAACGGTCAGAAGCGTGTGGACTGTACTCAAAAAAAGGTTGAATTGCAATTTTCAATAGTTCAAAAACAAGACAATTGAGCCACATCTGGGTCTTAAAAGGGGGTTTCATCACTCTCAAGGATGCCGGAACATCTAGCTGGGAATGTAGTAAATAGGGTGGAATGTATGTCCCAGATCCGATTGCTAGCGAAAAATGGGCAAATAACGAAAGATGGTTAACACCTGTCATCAGTTCCATTATAATAGGAAAGCAGAATGTGACTTCGGTAGTGTTTACTTCTATTTCCAAAAATAACTCCTTTTTTATTAAACATGAATGATTATTAACTTTTATTCAACAAGAAATACCTGAGTTATTATGACATTTTGGCTGTACAGATAATTATTGGCAGTGTTCTAAGTATCCCACTAAGTGTATTTATTAAAGTTTGTCAACCAACGTTCAGCGTGAAGTGATCGAGTTACAGCAAATCCTGAGCAATTCGATTCAGTAAGATAACGGAGAATTATAAGCATGTCAATAAACAATAATAACTACCACCTGTTGTACAAGAAGTGGCCATCGTTCCTCTGTGGAATAGCGGATAACGCCTTGGTATTTGAAGATGTGGCTACGGGATTCGATTCTCAGTGGGAACACCTTCACTCACTAAGGTGCAGGTACATCCAGCTGACGAGTCTTAAATAGGACGAGATGTTCGTGCTGGATTTCTCTGCTAGCCACAATTAAGTGAATTATCATAAATTAGCATTCAGGCTATGTCGAAGCATCCGCATAACAACCCATAAACCAATAGAGATCGAACCAGTGAAACAACAGAGAATTACAAGCATATCAGTAAGTGTTAATATTATTATAGTTTTAATATGAATTATTAAGGAAGTGTATAAAGCCTTGAAGTATAGGCGGCCTAAGCAGAATGTGAAAAAGTGCGGAAAGATAGAGACATATGGAGGACACCCAAAACTAACTGGTTGTTGACGCCATTCCTTCTGGCTACGGATATAACAGTCTCTTATTGACCCTTCATAAGGTTGGCGATTGTATAATTCCATTCCAGCTTGTTTAGTTGATACATCATGTAATGAAATGCTATTTGCTTGATGGCATATAGAACAGAATTCATTATTTATCAAGATACTGAGGTGACCATACACTCTCAGATCTAAATTTTTAAAGTCTCAAAAACCTTGGCTTTTTAATTTTGCTTATGATAGAACTTTCTAGGTAGATAGAATAGCAACTCAGTATTTATCACTTCACATACTGGCTGCTAATTTGCCCAGAAAGGATTTAAGCTTTTCCCTAATCTAAGAGTGATCATCTGTATAACTTTGACTCCACCCTACCGTATTATGCAGTCATGAATAGATACTTTTATCAAAACGTATGAATGCTTCTACAGATTGAAGTATTTCATTACAGCTTGTCATTCTCCAGTTCAGTTTGAAGGTTTGTGGAGACTTTATTGATTTTAAGTTGGTATTCATTATGGATTGACCATCAATTTGAGAAATACTGGAAACCTGAGAGTACTGCATAGCTGTTTCGCTTGAACATGAGACTCCTCAACAGTGAACTCTCATGACCTCGTCGGGGATCGAACCCAGGACCTTCGTGTTCTGTGGCCAGCACGTTGCCAGTGAACTACTGGGTAGAAACTCAATGGTCTATATTTCTTCCTTTTGTCAGTTTACTATTTCCTGTGACCTGCATCCAAAGCCGTTGTCGAGTAATAGTCCCCATGTTCAACCTAATTGGGTCCACCGGTCATAACTTCTCATTGGAACTTGGAGAACCGCGAGACCTTAAGGTGTTGGGCTTGATTCCTGGTAAGGTCATGAGTGAGCACTGCTAAGGAATCCCACACTAAGACGTAACAACTCTCTAGTGCTCTCAGGTTTCCAATATTTCTCCAACTGATGTCAGTCTATGATGAATACTGATCATTTTGTAATTACCTGCATTTTGTGCTCTGATAATCTGAATGACTTCTGTCAGTAACTTTAATCTGTATGCTTTACCTTACAATAATTGCATTTTATTTAATAGTCTCAACTACTTCAATCGCTGAGATGTTTTCAGAAGACGTTATAGAAGTATGTGTGCTATTTCACAAAAGAAAATAACATATCACTGTTCCAGTAGTTTCTATGAAATACTATCAATATTTGACCGAATTGTATTGTACTGAGTAAATGGTAGACATTAGATATAGTTTGTATTAGTGTAAATCACAGAATTATTGCTTGTATTATACTGTCGTTGTTTGGACCGAATTGACATTTCTCTATTGGCATTTGGGCTCCTATTTGGTTGTCTCGATATTACCAGTGTTTTTAGTTGTAGTAATGATGGATAGTGGCCAGCAGTGGAATCCGGGATGTACATTTCTTCCTATTTCGGACTCGTTAGCTGAGTGTAACTGCTTACCAGTGAGTGTTGTTCCCACCGGGACTCGAACTCGGGACCGATTGAATAAAGCGCCAGGGAGTTTCCCACTACACCACCGAACCACGGTAGCCACTTCTTGTGCGACAGGTATGTTTTTAATATTACTGCTTGTATTATACCGTCGCTGACTGGACCGAACTGATCGGTCTCTGTTTGCGTACGGTGTAATACAAGCTCAGTGGTGTAGCGGATAACGACGCTCTAGCGTTTGGAGTGATCGGTTCCGAGTCCGAATCTCGGTGGGAACAACATCACTCACTGGTAGGCAGCTACACCCAGCTAACGAGTCCGAAATAGGAAGAAATGCACATCCCGGATTCCACTGCTAGCCACTATCCATCATAACTAAAAATCACAGGATGTCTGAAATAAAATAATCACCAACGTTGATTTACACGGAAGTCTGGTTTGAGTTTCTTCAGGGAAATCATCTTCATCGATGAATTATTTGCCTAAGTGCACTTAGAACCTTACCGTATAAGAATAATGCAATGAATGATGTTTGTTTGTTAATTAAATAGTCCGTTTTGAGGATTTAAATACAGTTATAAGATTTCGCTTTTTAACAAAGATTTATTGAGGATTTACGCGTGAATTCATTGAAAATACTAGCGCGCCCCTACTTCATCGGTGGATGAATCTTTTGATTATATAAATATCAGCACAGGGAATTGCATATCAGAGATAATTTATATATTAAACTTGATCCAACCCACACTTGGACAATAATAGTCAAAGTCATCACGTGTACCCAGAAACAATATAAAACAATCTATTCTCAAAATAGAACATCGAACACTGTATAGTCAATCTGAAAATCAAATTATTTGGTGTTAAACACGTATGACATTTACACAAACGAGGTTTATGTCATGAATAAAAAAAACGAAAACCTTTTGGACAAAAGAATCTTAAAACAAATTAAGAATTGAGTTATGCATTAAAAGTAGTCCAAAGAGAAATTATTCATATCCGTTTCTAGTGCTTGTAACACTACGTGACATAATAGTGTTTTAGCTGTTGGTGAAAATTTGACCTGTAATTCATACGCACCAAATAAATCGTAAGGCTGTTGATATGGACAAACAGAATCTGATTTTTGATTTTACATCCATTACTGTCTATACAACTGACTGAGGTAACTTGTCACCATCTCATATGTTGCAGGTTCGTGTATTTAGCTGATCGACAATAAACGGACACGAATAGTTTGGCTTTAATAAACTGATTAATTTATATACATGGCAGATAGACTTTACTTCAAACTACCTCAGGAACATCTGATGTTTACAATGTTTCAATGTAACTGCAAACTGCCAGTTGATCCTGTTGAGTGAACTTCAATATTTAATGGCAAACAGAAATATCATGTATTGTTTGTTTGATATAGTATGATGATTAAAGGTGAAACGGAAATCCTGGTTACAGTTTAGTTCATACCAGTAGCCATGGTGTCACCGTCCACTTCCTCTTCCAATGTGAATTCCTGATACGTGACCGTCTACTTCTCCTAGTCACACCGGATGAACACCAGAAATTCACACGGCAGCCGGACAAAACTCTTGGTGACTGAATTGAAAATAAGAACCGGTTAATAGTAGCGTTAACAGGAGTGCACGATCGGCAACCTGGAAGCTGCATCCTCGAATCCTACTCCCAATAAGATATTATTCTCAACTTCAATCATCACTTTGCATCCCTAATAACAATCTACCAAACCACATCTATCCTCAATCAAGCTATTTGACAACCTGTATTCACCCTCATATTTCTTTCTCATCTCTGAAATTAGAGTTTCGGCTCTCAATGTTCTGAAGTCAAAACATATGCCAACGTCTTAAATTTCATTCTAGAAACTATGAGGTTACTTCATTCATTTCATGCATGCTATCATGTCTGTATGCTTAACACCAGGCCTTTCAAGAGTTACATGTATGTATCTTACTATCAGATTCCTTGTTTTTCATTCGATTCTTGTCGTCTTAACAAGGTTCTTGTCCCAATTTTCCTCTGTATCAGTATCGTGGGCTTGCGGAGCTTTCTACATGTATTCTATCTCATAGTGACCTAATCTTCAGCTCCACACTAATTACGATCAATATATAATGCTCTAATTGTTCCTCAGTTTATGACGGTTTCCATTCTTTTGTAGACAGTGTCATCGGTAAATTCATTGTGTTGCTTTCCATTGTATATTATGTTGTTTTTTGAGGAGTTTTAACCTTGATTTACTCGCAGTTAGTAGCTACGAAGTGTGTGCAATGTTTGTTCCTCTGATTTGCTTCCATCTGAAACTTTAAGATGATTCAGATCTGTTCGTAGGATGAAGCCCCGATCCGCATTTAAGGAAAAACACTGAATCAGGATGGTTTGTTCTTGTCTTATAAGCCTATGACGTTTACACAGAGTGAGTCTTCAGTAAATGCATTTACGGGATGCACAAACGTCAAACAAAGAGAGAAGCTAACTCACTTCTATACTCTTCAACAGCCTAAATTTCCGAAAAGCTGAATCCAAGACATCTTTTCTCATACAGACTGGAGAAAGTGTCGATTTTGGAGAAAATAAACTAAAATCCCCCGAGCACACAACACGTCATTTATCTTGACTTTCAACACTTGCTCAGTTTAATACCACTGAATAAACACAGTCGGAGGAGAGTTGCGACTTCATCGAGTAGTATAGCCATCAACCAGCTAGCCGGAATCAGATGGTAAGTATGCTCAACACAATGATTGATTAAACCACAACTATAAAACACTCTTGTGTTTTTCTATTATCAGGCTGACTGTACTCAGCCGTACACGACATCCTCGTGTTTTGACTGGACTGAGTTGAACATGCCCCTTTGTTCACCATTTTTATTAACAGTTGGACTGTGAATTATTGTCACCACAATCCTCTATACTCTGTTGTGCACTTTACTAATCTGATGTAAACCATGGGATCTCTGTGATGTTGAATTACTAGATGCATTTTGTGAATGTTTATGTGATTCTTTTTGGAAGATGAAACATGTTTTCTGTTAGACCACATTAGAGACATGACTGATATCACCTATGTAAGTGATAGCTGCTGCTGATAATCGCCTTCCAAGATATAATACACGGTGGAAAAGTCAGTTGTGTCAACAAGGCTTGTAACCATAGAACAGTTCCTGGCTGAAGGGATCCTATCAGTATCAGCTGCTGAATCAGTACCCCTCTCTTTCACCTCAGAAAAATAAAACAATTTGACAGGAATTATCTCCACATATTAAAATCTTGCATGGAGTGACTATCAATCGTAACTACTTATAAGTAGCACTTGAAACTGTGAAATCACAAAGTGATATCGGTTGGCATCTATCAGTTTGAGTGACTTAAACGAGAGTTGTAGATACTATTCGCTGTTGTAAACAAAAAAGTCTCAAAATTTGAGCTAAATATTTTCCTGCCAATCCATTTGAATTCTTGAAAATGAAAACTGTAAAAGTCATAGTAATATTCATTAAACAGGCTTATACTAAAATTGTTGTTTCCAAAAGGTTAGCATTTTACACTGTCCTCAGTTTTTCGAATTAGTAGTTTATGCCTTAATTTTGGGGCACCAGAGGATAATACTTATCTTTATTTCAAGCATTATCTTCATACTTGTTACGCTAATCAAAAGTCAGTGAAAGTCTTCCTGTGTATTCGTGAAATCCTATCCTTTTTAAGCTATGCCTCATTATTGTATGAAGATGATATTCAGGTTTGGGTTAGAATATCGCTCCGCTTATCGAGGTTTAAGCATCCAGGTAGTTATCATACAATAAATATGGCCTACTGACCGATACAAGAATGTTTACATGGTTATTGACTGGATTTTTACTAGATTTCTCATGATCTGCCGCTTATTTATGCAGAATTTTATTTTCCTTTTGGCATGAATTACTATTTCAGCATACATTATTTTGATGCATCTCAGTCATAATAATCATGTAATCAGTTTGAGTATATGAGATAACTACAGTTTATCAGACTTGCATTATTTATACTGGATGGTGATTGAAGATGTAGTGATAATCTGGGTGGCGGTGGGATACAACATGGACGGATAGTAACAAATCAGGAATTCATATTGGCACCCGGGCAAACCGTTTGGGAATGAAATAAAATTAGGATCTGGTCAGTAGCTCAGTTGGTACAGAACGGTGTCGGTAACCTTTGAGGTCATTATCTCGAGTACCATAAAGACTCTGATTATCGTTTCCCTCTCAGCTGACACCCAATATCAGTCGTGTGATTGTCTATGAAGAAGCTAAACAGTTTCAAGGCACAAGTACTGCACATGCTTTATATATTCTGATAGCCGTCACCTTGGAATTTAAAGCAGAAGGAGTATTCCCAATTCAAAGATTACCTCTCTACGATCTCATTGTACAGTTCGCACAGAATGGTACCTTATGCTAAATATGACAACTTGAATAAAGTTATCAGTTTTATGCAAAATTAACAACAAGAATGCCCTTATCAGATATATAACCTCACTCGATGTTCACGGAGAAGAAAAAAGTAGTCTTTTCAAGTTCAGGGAATGTCGTCAGGAAAACTTTACACTTCATTCAAACTGCGTGAACATCATAAAGGTTGGAATTCATCATGGAGTGACATCAGTTGACTCCTCCTTCACTCCGCCAGGGGTTGAACACGGGACCTTTAGGTTCCGTGGCCAGCACGTTATCAATGAGTTGCTGGGTTGGAATCCAGCTGTTCGTATCAGTTCATTATGCAGCTCAGCCTCAATTCAATACCGTTGCTGAGTAACTGTTTTCATACTCGACTTGGTTGACTCCATCGGCCATAACTTCTCATTAGGACTTCAAGAATCACCTCTGGAAAATAGTCACCAATGAGCGCTAGATTAATCCCATTTGGAAGTTTGTGGAGGCTTATTGATTGATGGGTGTTACTGTCGCAGCTATAAATCACTGTGTGTGGAAAGACTGAAATAATTCTGTATAAATTCATTTGATATATGAAATTTCATATCTAATGAGCATATTTGTAGTAACTACGGGGTAAAATGCCTCTTTAGACAGTCATTTTTCTGGTGTTCAAGCCAAATGACTTGCTCTACACCACTTCAGTCACTCAACATCAACTTGGGACCTGGAATTACTATCCGGTGATCTAATTCACCACATGTCATATCAACATTGATGTGGAAGGTACGTAAATCAGGAAAAAAGGTAGATTAAAAGTGATAGAAAGTCATGAAAAGACAACAAAGAGATATGAAACAATGATGAAATTTAGTGTGACAATTAAGGTAAAGATAATGTATGACCACATCTGTTCTCTTTGCAAGCGGATTCCAACCAACAAGTTTACACTTCACTAAATGCCTCCGACTCAAAATACACGCTATCTTAAAATCCATAAGAACTTTTGGAGCTTTCAAATTCATCAATAAATCCGAATTGTGTGGCGGTCATTTGGATATACTTCCACAAATAGTAATTCATCAATATCTCCTTTTTGTAAGCGTGATGAAAATACCAATATCCAGAGGTTTTAGCAGGAATCAGTAGATATTCAAATGTAAACAAAAATAACTCCAACACTGAGTATCTTTCTTCATCATACTTTTTAAATAAAGTAACAACTAGTAAAGAGTTTATATATCTGAGATTTTTATTAATATTCATCAATGATAATAATAATTCACCTGTATAACATTTCGACAATAACACTGTAAGCCGCTCATCACTATGTATTATGCAAGTATAACTGAGAATAATCAATAACATTTATCTATAATCAATGCAGATATTGATCACTGTATGACCTTGACAGATCACGTTGGCGTAAAGCAAAATGCTTTGTGTGTAACATCTATTCAATATATTTTGAGCTAATATATATAACATAAAGATAATTATTGATCATTTCTAAAGTTAGTGCGGTGGTACACAATATTCAGGTATTCAGAGAAACTGTGACACGTAATCTGTGTGAATAATGTGAAAGAAATATTTTTCATAGATTTCAGGTGACTAAACCTTATTATTATTATTATTATTATTATTATCATTATTATTATTATCATTACTATAATCGTTGGTTGAATTTTCCGATGGGGGCGTCGAGTCAAAGTTCACGTTGGATAAATATAACCGAAAGCATACACTATTATAATGGATTTTATAACTCGAGAAATAAATATCTGCTTGCTGCCATGTAACCATTGACCAAGCTCTGTCCTAACTGTTACCACTTGGCGTTTGTTGTTTCTAAACTAATTGGATCCATATTATCAACCTGTGGGTGGAATGATAGAAGTAAAAGAAGTCCCATTCCATCATCAGTTACTGACATGTAAAATGATGCATAGTCCTTTTACAGTGTACAATATTTTCAAAGAGTAACCGTATCACATTGTACTTCAACTTCAATATCGAAAAGCGTTTTTCCTTGACGCATTTCAATTGAGAATGATTAGATTTCAGTAGACCATTTTTCATTTCAAAGTATGTTTGTTCCACTGAACGTTTTGCTTTAAACGCTAGTATGCAGGATAATAACACCGTTTTATAACCTTCAATCAATGTTGCCAGTCATACTATTTGATAATTTCGTTTACTACAGAAAAATTTATGAGAAAACTTAGGAATAAAAACTTATAATGGATCGAACTGTTCAGCCTCTGCTGGTATATGGGCTCCTATGTGAATGCTCCAATATTACCTGAGTATCCATTGTACACCGGCTTCTCTTATGATGGCTAGCATCGGACTGTTTAAAGTGTGTTTCGTTCTGTCAGGGAATTACTCGTCACCTGCATTTACCTCCGTCACAGCAAGTGATGACTTTCTCGCTGGGACTGGGACCCGACAACCATCACTCCAAACTCCTAGACATCATCCACTAGGATACTGAGACCCAATAGCCATTTATCATGCAATGGGTATCAGTTATCATCCATTGATATTTGTAACTTTTCTCTATTATACCGAATCAAAATCAGTGTTCAGTGTAAGAGTGTAGTGATTGAAGTTGGGGAAAATTAAAATTCAGATGAAACTCGAACCATCAGTTTCTGATTATTATATGGTACGAACAACTTTGAGTGTGATGGAGGAGTGTTTGTTCTCGTTCTTGAAGTCTGTCTGTAAGCTGAATTGTTGAAGATAAACGTTGGTGTTCCTTACAGTAATACTTCCATTGCATGGACCGGTATCGACTGATGTAAGTAATCACGTTCCTTAACAATCACGATGATCTAAAAAGTAATTCATTTTGTAAAAAACTTATCCGCAGTAATCGAGATTCTCGGGATAATTTATAATCATTTGATTGTCGTTTGCTTCATCAGTATGTTTATCTAGAACTTTATAGAATGAGGAGGAAAAACAGTTAATTTGGAGAAATTATAAACTTCTGTTTACATAGTTAGTGACGAGACCAGTATGCCTGTCATCCGGAAAAAGAGTTTACTTAGTTTATTTGGCTTCAATTTACAATTCTCACTGAATATTGTCCGGATTCAAGCCAGCCAATTAAGCCATCAACGTGTACAACTCACTCGATGAACAGTACTCGACCTCACTTTATTCAACAATAGTTCTTCTTTGTCTTCACTTGACTGTGCGATGTGTGACAGTCAATTCACTACCGCAACAGTGAAGGTTCAGTGATATCTTCTTGTTTCAGTACACATTTCAAAGCAATCAAAATTAACATTTGGCCATCAGTTATGTTTTCTGGCCCATTTGGTCGGATTTTATGGAAATAATTAGCTGAATGAAGGCTATTTCAGTTGGTTTAGAGCAAAAGTGCAAGTGTGTCATTAAATTCATCACAATAGGAACCACTTGGAATAGTATCTACAGGAATAAGCTCAAAAATGTGCTGTATGATAGACTGAATGAACAACAGAAACGATCAGATTTATCCCAGAAGTTAACAGGGAAACTACCTGATCAATAATTCATTGAAATAAGAGAAAGTTGAGAGGGAAAACGTGATCACAAAGATAGATATACTGAAGACTAGATGTCATTGCATTCTCTCCCCTAAGGGGGGGGAGTGGTCTGTCATTCTATATTCAGCTAACTTCCTATTGTTCTACTAGTCTAACTGACCCCGACCAGCTAGGATGACTTGTATGCTCGACCTCACAGTCATTGTATTGAATTTGGTAGATTATATTATTTTACTTAATTGTTTCTATCGGATGTTTAGGCCGATGATACTTATCTCTGAGTGAGTTTTCAGTTTTAAATGGCACCCTAATTCCAGCGTTGCTGAGAATCCTATGTAAAGTTTCTTATGTTCCTTCCTAATAAGGCAACACAACAAAGGCTTTGAACTCCTTTCTACTCGTGTTGTCATTATTATTCTTATTCGAATTACCGTTATTATTTCGTTTCTTCTGTGTTTGTACGAATTTCCTAAAACACCCTAAAGGATAATTATTAACGCTTCTTTCATGTGGTTTAATTCCTTGTTTAGGTGCTTGCACTAACTAATCGGTTTTTTAGCTCTACCATTTAGGCATTTGACTAAACCCTCCTTGACCAACATTGGATGAGATGACTTGAAGTCTAGATACCTGATACAATGTGTCAGTTTCCTGTAGACGGTAGTATTCAAACCACCGTCTGTTCTTCGTTTTATCCTGCAAACCAACATAAGTAATTCTCCTCGTTAGTTTTGTACCTCGTAAGTGAATTGGATTGCGTTTACTACTGAGTTTATATGCATGAGGAAATTGTCTATATGTTCCGATTTCAACACAGTAAGTGTGTCACCCACATATCGCCACCATATTTTAGGTTCAGGATTAAGCTTAAGTAAAGCCACGCTCTCCCAACTATGCATAAATATATCTGCTACGATTGGGGATATTGGCGATCCCAATGCTACTGCTTCTATTTATCTGTATATTTCGTCGTAAAACTTGAAGACTGTGGAGATCAGACACAACTGTACGCCTAATATGATTTCATCGACCGATATCTTAGTACTCTGAGTAAGTTATGAGTCAATATATTTAGTTGATTTCTAACTGCCTTCGGTACGATATTAATCGATATTTTAGTATGTTATGTCGCATTCGGAACCATTTAAATTTTAGTGTAGTCCGTTCTTTCAAGATAAACCTAAAACCTAATGATCAACATTTAGAAGAGAGTGAAGGAAGTGGTTAGTTTCAATGTCACATAATTCGGCTGTGTTAACCGGTTACAGCGGAACACAAAGCCTAGTGCTTATTGTCTCTGTCATACACGTGATCTAATTCACCTTTAAATGCAATTGAATTACTTGACCACAACGCGCCATAACTGATAAAATGAAACGGCCAATTTGAAGAACATAAAAGGTGAGATAATTTACGATAATGGATTGACTTCACTCAAAACTACATATAGAAAATAAATGAGGAGTCTATAGGAAACTCTTGAACTGAGCTATACAACAATATTGCCAAGTAAGTCATACGTAAAATGGCTTATAACATAAATAAAATAATAATACAACTAATGACAATAATCTGAGATTCATTCACGTTACCCACTTTTCACTTGTTATAACATCACTCACAGTTTAAGACTCAAGGTTATAAATATTTTTACGTGGAGTGTTTAGTTCTACTGTATTATATATCATTCCCGGAATTCAATTCATATTGTATGGAATACCTTCTTAAGTGAGTTTACGAGACGTTTGTTTTTAGAATTATTTATTCATATTATTTCATTTCATTTTAATTCATTATTCTTTTTAGAGATATTTTGATGCGATTAAGTTCTCTTGATCAGTTTACTGATAGTTTAGCTAAATGGGATGATTTAATGACGGAACGATTAACTGAACAATTAAATCGTAAAGTACGTATAAATGAAATGCGTACACGTCTTGAAACACTTACTGGACAGTTAAAAAATTTAATGGATGAATCTACGCGATTAGAACATTTAGATCAAAAAGGTAAAAATATAAAGAAAAATTATTTTTTTAAAACTATTTTTATTTTTTCAATTTGTGAGTTCGTGGGGATTTCATTGATTGATTTCAAGTTGTTATTTATGACAGACTGAAATTAGCTGAAGAACAATTGAAAATCAGAGAACACTGAATAGATGTTTCGTCCAAGTATGGGACTCCTCAGTGATGTACACTCATAACCCCACCCTACCAGGGACCAAACCCAGGATCTTCAGTTCCTGTGCCTATCACTTTGCGACTGAGCTCATGACGAATACCAATTTGATGTTTTATCAGTATATATGCATAATATTATTCATAGAATCCTTAAAGAGGTTAGAATGAGACCTGATGTAGAGAAAGTAGATTTTGAACTTAATTCAGCATGTGATTTCTCTTGAAAAATTTCATTTATCAATAGCATAACGTTTCACCAGTAAATTTCTGAATTTTAAGGTTATCGATAGTCATGAAGATATACCTTCAATTGTATACTTCAATGTTGTATAACATTCATTTTTATCCTAAGTTTCCTGTTTCAGTTGGATTAGATTGTTCAGTGTCAACAACCAGTAAATATTTCAGCATTCTTAACATTCAATCCACTCATTACTAATCACAAATAATTTATATTTCAATACTTATTTCCCAGTTTCATTTGATTAACTGTCAGTTTTTGTCTGAATATTTATTGTTAACTAATTGGTGGATATAATGAATTGACTAGTAGTCATGTTGTCATTTTTACTAAGTGTTAACCATAGATTACGTGTTTACTGTTATACAATATCAGCTGTAAGTTCACCGTTTAAGTGAATTAGTAATTACGAGAAAACAAAGACAACCTTCTGATTTAAAAGGATCGTTGGATGAATATATCCATACATAGTTTTATCATTAATCAGTATAACTTGGAAAAAGCGATTTCAAACGAATGAATGCCAAAGGGGTGGAATGTTGTATGATGGAAGTAGTGATCAGCAGCAATTTCCATCGATTTCCGAAATAATGTAATACCTAGACAGAGTTAAATATTCTGTCACCAAGTACAAAGCTTAACAACCTAAACAGCCTCCAGTAACTTTAGCACTCCAATGGAATATATTAAAAAGAACAGGCCAAATCTTCAGTTACAGCTTTTGTTGTCTCGATAAAGAAGAAAACACATGGAACATTTCTCTGTTAAACATTATTCCAACCCATAAGGGAAAATAACCTACTGATCGTGGCAACGAGGAAGATGAATTGAAATTTATAAAAGAATTAGCGTTAAACAATCATTTTTAAGGTTTTCGAACACTTATAGATCAACGTGAGTCTAATACTTGTGTTTAAAAAACAATACGCTAGTTTCCTCTTCTTTTTAAAATTACAGGATATAGATGACTTGTTTACCTTTTACTACAAATGAATCAATTTATCTATTCACAGGGGCGTATTTATCAGTCCTACGATCAAATGATATTGGTGATCGAGTGAAAGGTATACAAACTAGCATAGAATATCAACGTGGGGGATTTCAAAGTGAATTGTTAAATTGTAAACGTGAACTGGACGCTATTCAAACACGTGCAGATCAATTGAACACTGATTGGGCACAAGTAGACAGACGAATTGGAGAATTCCGTGAAAAAATTCGTCAGACAAACAGACTGGTAGGAGAGGCTTTTTCAAAAAAATGAGAGTATAATTGATCGGTGTTACATTTGATTAAATAACTCATTTCCGTTTACTATTTTGTTCAATGTAGACAGTGTCATTATTGTATTCATCTCATACCAATCTTCTTAACGCTCACTTGATAGATTCTTTTTGAATAATTTTTTAATTGTTATTTCACTCAGCCGTCAGGATAATTTACAGACGGTAACATTGACTTTCAGAAACTCAAGGTCATCATCTTTACAAACAGTCAATCAGGAAACGGTGCACTGTTTGATTCTTGGAAAAAAACAGATGGGACAAAGCTGAAAGTTATCTTCAAGTGTTATCGTCCTCGTGATAGGTTGTACGGTTGTTTGTAAAAATGAAAACATTTTCTGTGTTCTCTATGAACATTTTACCTAACTGTGTAGTTTTTACAATGCCGCCTGTCATTGAAACATGTTTTAAACCGTTTATTCATACGCAAAGTGTTGGCTACACTTGCATTTCTTAGGCGGAAAGTAAGTAAAGTTATTCAGGATGAATGATACTCACAGATCACAGTGAGTAAGTAGAGGCTTCAAATTACATTCAAAATGATTTATGACTAGATTTTTAACTTCAGAAATATGCATACATAACATAACACACAACACGTATATTTACAGACAGAATGATGTAACACCTGGGGATAACTCTTAGCCTCGTCCAACAGATGGCATTAATGAAACAGTATATTAAATTAAAAAAAGATTATTTTTATGCGTACGCAATAAAATTATATTCAACTAACTCAGTTTTAGTTCATACTAGTTTCTGCCCATTAACTCGTGAATCGAACTTCATTTCACTAAGCAAAGTGATCCATTAACTTCCCGGGATGACTTTTTAATTTATCATATCAATCTCTCAATACGACTATCTACCACATTACAGAAAGCTTTCATTGTCATCCGTGACCCATATTTACCGAACATTGTCTTAGGCAAAAGCCCATGTTATTAAAACAGTAAATTAGAACCTTTTGTCGTCGAAATTATAACCTAGACGATAAACAACACCAATCACATTTAAATAATACCTAGGAAAAATGTGCGGCCCCAACGGGATATTCGCAACCATCATAAACCGTTAAGACTAGACTAATCAAAATGTCAACTCTGCTCCCACTGTGATCTATTTCCTATTGTCACCTAATGATGAAAATGAAATTTGACTCATTGACCTTACGTGAGTATGTTTGCTAGGCACTAAGGCATATCACTTTTATAAAATAGAACCCTGTTCATCTTCAAATGTACAGAATTTCATAGCGACGTTGATTGTTCTCTGAACTAGGGTTTCAGATGTCAAACATTTCAATGCAACGTCATGAGTGCATAAAGGCTTCAAAAGAAAGTGATATAGTTTATCTTGAGTGGATATTTATAACATGGTACTTTACCTTACTTTGATTTGATTGATCTCTTGGTAAGTGTATCTGCATATATGGAGCTTAATTATTTGATCTTTTGGCTTTAGTTAGGGTTAGGGGTGTGTACAACCACGTGATTATTTAATTTACAGTACATTGAGGTCTCTTCTTTGTGAATTATTCTCACCTTTCATTCGAATGGACAGTTTCAAGTCACCTTGTTCTGATTGATCGACACTTTTACTTGACTGAAGTGAAGAAGGCTGTTCTTATTTGATTTGCTCCAACTGAAGTTATACTCCTTACTGCTGCTAGTTGTTTAAATTTTATTGATCTTGAACTAAGTGATTGATGACTGTGTTCTTGTTTGCGTCAAGGGCTTCATTGTATTTAGATCGACTGATTCCTGTAATTAATTTGTTACGAATAGGATTGTATGTTGCGTCTAGGTCTATGTGTCAATTTATTGCTAATGAATTTGCCTCAGTGTTAGTGTTGCACGTAAACCTAATTTCAGTGACCAGGGGAAAACAATTTTGTGAAAATTCTTGTCTCTCCATAAATAGTTGATTGCATTTGTGAGTAATTAAACCTTCTGTCTTTTATACGTCACTACACCATACTGAAGATTACTGACTACATGATTGACTAACTAATAGTGGTGCAGGAATAATCAGCTGGACATTATGTAAACAAGCCTTCTTGAAGTCACCACCTTTGAAAACGAAGTTTATGGTACACACATAGTTCTTATGGATTTGGGAAATTCTTTCTTTACACAAGATGCAGCTGTTTTGCATCAGCCTTATTTGTCGTTCAACGCAGACATTCCAACATGGAACCGAGATAGGTAGGGAGTTTACTTTATGAGTAATACTATAGTGAACACAATGATCAAATATATGTTTTAATACAAAAGGCCTACTTAGCATCTACCAACTTGCATCATTTGTGGCGCCGACTGGGGAGATATCTAACCGTCTACTAAAAGGCGAATATACTGCACTGCAATTCATTCTGTCCTGTTATACGGCTGGGGTACAGAGCAGGTAAAAGTAGAAAATAAGATTTATCACGTTTTTGCAGCATTGCTCGCGTTTGGTAGAATCACCATGTGAGCAATTTCAACGTTAGGCGAAGGCTACTAGACAAAGCAGACAAATCAGTGGATGAGGTTGTGAACCTTCGTCGACTGAGGTGACTTGGATATGTGCCTTGCATGTCGAGCGGCCGCCAACGTTGGGGTGAAGTGCTAGGCGAAGTTGGATTAGTTTGGAAGACAATTCATGGTGGCCAGAGCAAGACGCAGCACAAGTATATGGAAAGTCGTATAGGTACGTGTAGACTGCTTGGTTGTGGTTTCAGAGACGATAGAAATCAGTGATTGAGGAGTCCTGGTAACGTGACTGGAAACCGGTCGCAGTAGTACAAATGTATTCACTCTTCAACGTCTTCTAAAGCTTGAATGTTCTGACTAACCTTGTCATTCAGTATTGTTTTACAGTCATACAGATGGATTGTTTTGCCTAAAGCTTTAATCGGACCGTATACCAAGCATTAATACTACTCACATTTGAATAAACATTGGCTTGTGAGTTTAAATATGAATAATCCAATTTATTTAGTATGTTACAAAATCAATATGAATTTTTGTTTATTTACTTTAGATTTGTGGTGACAATGGCTTATTGCCCAGTGAAGATACAGACAACAAAGTATGTCCATCCACTTGTGGAGGTGCTGGTTGTGATTACTTTTCAAAATCAACTGGTCTTTTAACAGCACCTGTAGTGGTTAACCCAAAGGAAAGTCGTCAGATGATGAGTACAGAGGTGAATTTACGCACTGGTCTGATTGGTACATGTGGAGTGAATCCAGGATGTAATGCTAGTAATGCTGGACGTTTACGTCTGCGTATGGAGGAGTATTTAAATATGCAAATTCGTTTGACCAATGCATTGTACAATGTTTATCGAGCTGAAAGTGCTATTTCAAAGGTAAGAAGTATTTCTAAGCTCTTTTACATTATTACTGGTAAAATGTTTTACACCTTTACTCTTGGTGGAATCTGACGTTGGATAGCGTTAGTCAAATTTCACCTAGTAGAAGCTTACTAGCTGAACGCATACGTATTCATATTGGTTTTCCTGTTGCAACTAAGACCAAACATCCAGTACTATAAGCTCTAGAGTGTTATCCCCTGGACTATGAAATTGATGTAGGCTCGTCTAGATTATTTTGTGAAGAGGCAGTCAGTTACTTCCTCGCTGTCGATTTGAGTTTACTCTAGTTACGTTGAAGATATTTGACTAGATCGTCGGTATAATGAGATGTGCATAGTTATCCGCTTTTCATTATTGTGACATTTTCACACAAACACTTACTCCTTATGTACAGTGAAGTTGTTATTCTTAATGCATTGCCCCATAGTGGTTTACTGAATATGACTTGTTTGAATGGTTCTATGACCCATATCAACAAGATTTTCATTAGTAGTCATTTGTACCACTTTCGATCTGATGTTTATTTTGGTTCATTTCTTCAACTTTAGAGCAAAGATAGAGTGTCTGATACATTTTTGATGGTCTGTTTATTAGTTTAAGAGAAACCTAGGCAGTCTCGATGAATACTGTTTATGGAAAGACTTTGTACTGTGATTCTGTTCATATTTACATGATAAACATTCTGAGATTGATGCCTAACTTATTGGCAGTTAAGTGTTCCCTGAGCTTCGATATTTTTTAGTGCATCTCATCTTTCAAAACTCCCACTATCTATGATAAAATGCAATCTGCTTCAGAAGGGACTGGCAATGCAAACAATCTAGATTTTTGTGCTTCTTTGCAGTGTACACTTAAAACCTCAAGATTAAATGTTAAACAACAACAAGAACTACGTCAGTCAACTGTGCCTTTAGTGAAAACCAAAGGAAATTAACACCTACTATGCACAAAAGAAAGAAATACACTGAAATCCCTAATAATTAACAAGACAATTGTTATATTACCTTTGAATAAAAGAAGGGATACTGCTGTCGTGTACAAAAACGCAATTAAGTAAATTAAAAGCCAGATCCAAAGAAAACTGTGGAACTTAGTAAAGCTGTCCACATCACAAAAGAAGAATGACAAATGAAGACAAATGGATCAATCATACAGAAGTTCTACGGTCGACCGAAGATACATAAGATAGGTATTCTACTACAACTAATAGTTTCACTATCTGGAACACCTTCATTCAATCCATTCAAAGAATTATATAGACAATGGAAGTGAACGCGACAAAATATCAAAACTCAGAGAACACTAAACCATGAGGTACACATCTTTTCGATCATTTCAAGATGGATAAGATACGTATTTATTCGAGAGAAGTTATTTCATACGAAAAAGCCCAAAAAACTCGGCTACATGAACCTTACAAGTGTATATAAAATCCTACATGGTACCTACAGTAGGAGATAGACAAGTAAAATAAGTCTTGTGCATACTCTTTTATCATAAGACAATATTCAATGTATCAAAAAAAGAAAATTTGAAGAAAACGTTTTAAACAGAATGGTCATTGATAAAAGTTAATATGAATATAGAGTATGCTTTTTAAATAATTTCCTTTCTGGTTCTACTCTGTCTTCAATGTATCTCATTAAGTGTTACCTGTCTATGCAATTAAGGGTGCTTTTAAAACTATTAGCAGAAAATTAAGTTTATTTGGAACATGGATCACTAATAAATCAATAAAGTCATGGTAGATTTTCATACACAACCTTAATTTTCAAGTGTAAATAGAAAGTGGACATACAACATATTGAATTCAGTTGGTAAAATTGAACTCATGATTGATTTTTCAGAAAGAGTCAGATATCACGTCAAAGAATCAGTGACTTCTTGGCAAGTTAATCAGCATCAACATAAGACCTGGCATTCTTGCACAGTTGTATGAAGATGAAACTATAGAAAGGAATAGGAACGGATGAAAAGAATACAATGAGTAGATCCACCAGCTCTACTGAGACTGATTTCTAACCGTATTACGTAGAGTCTGCAGGCATTATTTAAGTCTACATTCCACCGTCGACTCATCCGAACTGGTAGAGATTTCAAGGGCTGGTGTTAGGTTTTGTTTCGGGGTCCTGTGATCTTTTTTCAGCATAATCTTACTTCAACAAACATCATGCGTCGGATGCACACGATGATTAGGCATGTGCAACACATGTCCAATCCATTTGAGCAGATAAAGGTTTACGACCTTATCAACTGGTTTACAGCTTTTATGTTAGACACTGTGCCTCACGTCTACATTTCCCGACAAACTAGCGGTGTTATGAAGGCGACACTGGTAGACCACTTGGAATTTTCTGACTGCCTCAACTTTCAATGGTCACTCTCGTAGATGTGGCGTAGGACATAGTGAATTTCTGTACAGAACCCTCAGTAGGTATCACGTAACAGGATATACTATCTTAAGTGGTCTACTTCGGTGAAAGTTAATCGAATGTTTTGTATTCGTGACGAGGTTCGATCGCTCATTAACCCGTGATGGCTGACCTGAATTCCTAAGTGAGTGCAGTTGTCAACGCCTTCAAATATTTCAGTCTCTTTTAGACGATTTTACGAAAGATCCCTTATTGCATATCTGAATGTAATTCATGCAGGAATTCACAGTTTTGACTGAGCAGATTGTAGAAAATCTTTCAGTGTAAATTTAGCAGCTTCAAGAAAATTATCAGTAGTGTATTTGTCCGAATGAGATACTAGTCACTGTGTTGATTTCAAACTGCTATATTCTATGGCTGATAATGATGCACGGATATCGAGTGTCAGACACCGACGTTCAACAACCTCCTAGTTGATCCCCGATCCGACTAATTAATGGGAAGACACGATGTACGTGTAGTAAAGTGTGTTGGGGTAGAAAAGACCGAAGACCAAAAACAAAGGAAAATACAGCTAATATACAGATAGTTCGCTGTTTAAAATAATCCTATTGATTGGCTGATCCATCGTTTGTCTGTCTAACTATAGATATGATTACATTAAGTACTTTTTTAACTGATCCCTCTCCAGACTAGTCTTTTTTTCTCTAGCCCGATATCAGTCACTTGGTCAACCTATTACATCTTGGCTTGCCTTGAATCAAAGCCGTCGTCACTCAATCAAATGGCAACTGACCAGTTCAATTAATAGTTAGCTAAACAACCTCCTTACAAAGATATCCGAAACCAACATGGTTTCAGAAGACACTGTCTTCTAATCACTATCTACCGGTTTCTAATTTCGACATCACCGGTACCTAAGCGTATTTACACCTAGGTGTCCCTCACTCTTTCATGAATTGGATAACAATTATACAGTAGCCTCTTTCGAATGTTTTACTTTCCCAGTGGTTTATTGAGGGTCAAGATACTCTATTCAGTTGTTATTCTTTTAACTTATTTGGATCCCCAAAAGTATATGAATTTATTTAGGCAATAAGCATGGTATGTGATGTAACTGAGCAATCCAGTTAAATTTCATGTACTTCCTTATGAACTGGATTTGATATGCGAGGATTTAACATAGTGCACCATTAAGACAGAAGTAAAAAGGGTGTGAGTTCGAACCCAGGATCACACACTTGAAGGTCTGTTGACTGAACCAGTAGCCCATTCTTCGATGACCTATTGAAATTTTTGACAGATAAGAACTGGTTTATTTCAATAAAAGAAACTATGATTGGAAACAAAATGCTAACTTTGTTTATATGAAGACTTTGGTTGGCTAGGATTTCCATTTGTAAAGAAAAATGATCTTCTGAATGGTTACCGGTGGTAGTCAGCGGTTAATTTCAGTCTTTACAAACACGTCCAACTACCTTCACATTTACAACGTAACGTTCTCCCCTGCTTGGTGACTGTCAGTGGAATGCATGACACTCGTTTCGTCCTATTTGGGACTCGTCTACCAGTTGTACCTGAACCCTAGTGAGTGATATTGTTACCGCTGAGACTCGAATCCAGTGCCCATTGCTTCAAATGCCAAAAAGCTATTCAATTGGCCACTAGAGAACGAGAGACACATCTTGTTCAGTGGATGTCAGTTTTTACTTGATATTTGTAATAATTTCGCTAAATCTGTGACTTTTCAGTCCTTCCGTTGGAGTCTTTCAAGGTGGGAGGGTAAGCAATGATCTAGACACCTCCTTAAGTCGTGTTGTAACACTGTGAGTTTGGTGTTCTAGTTGCTCTGCTGAAAGTCAGTTCCCAGTGGGTTCTAGTTATCTGTCACTGGTGATTACGAAAAAGTAGGAAAGGTTTGTGGAACGTAGCCTTATGTCAATCCCATCCTGGTATGAAATATCAAGTTGCTTTTCTGTCCTGGCAGCAGTAGCCAAAATAAGTTCTGATACTAAGCCGATTGTTGGTCCGAGACATTTAGAGGATTTTAAGCTTCTCAGGTGTGATCACTGAGGTAACCCTGAATCTACTTATAGTTAGAGAATTTCAGTGATATGGCTCAAAACCAATCACAGTCATACAGAGGCTTTCAGCTTTTATATTCATCTGGAAAACAATACTATCGAATATTATGACTGCGTTTATTTCGTTTTACTTTTTTATGGCTTTTCATGACGTCTTGCTTTTCATATTTTCTTCTCCTTCTTTCTGTTGACGTTTACCTCGATATACCTATATAAAGTGTAATAATGTGGCTCGTTATCTGATAATGACAGATTCCATTCAGTTTATGTCTGTTTCAAAATAATCATGTTTGTCTATCTTATCTGTGTTATTTAATCAACAATCGGTGCAGCCAAGAAGTATCGAAGACAGTCAACAAACGCAGAAATGAGCTTGAACGCCCATTGACGCCTCAAAGATGCGTGAAAGCAATGATAAAGGTATAAAGCGCATACAATAATAGATTATTTCATCTTGGGAGTTTAGAATTGAAAAAAACAATAATTTAGGATAGAACTGGGATTAGATAATGCCATACCATCATGAATAAACTTCTTTCTGTGACAAACGGCACACTGGAGTACATGCGTCAATAACTTCTTTATACTTATGTACAGTTACGTTACTCCCAAATCAACACAGTGTTTATCTCTCTATAAACCTCCTACTCGTACAATACTAGAAAACAGTTTACTTTTACTCTCACCCTTCGTTAACTTCACTCAACAATGTTTGCTTATAAATACTGAGCAAATGTTTTCCTTTTTTATTTTATAAGCCTTGAAACTCAAAATTGATGTTTCTTTCTATCATTTCACTTACCTTGTATATTTTTTTGATATTCTGTAAAAATAAATTTGATTTTGAGGGATTTGTGGATATTTGGAAATATTTCAAGTTGTTATTCATCCTAGACTGACATCAGTTGCGCTATATCGTGAGCTAATAGAAGTTGGAAATATAGACCATTGGATTCTAACCCAATGGCTCAATGGTAATGCGCTGGCTGCGGAACGTGAAGGTCGCAGGTTAAATCCCTGGAGGGCGGAATCGTGGGTACGCACTGCTGAGTCCTCCCATTCTAGGACGAAACAGTTGGCTGTCCAGTGCTCCCAGGTTTCCTTTGTTTCTCCAACTGATGTCAGTCTACGATGAATAACAAATTGAAACGTAGATTTTATTTATTTACGTTGTTGAAATTTACTACCAATACAAATTTATCTTCAGCAGTACAATTTAAAGTGTAGAGCAATGAGATGATATGGACAATCCTTGAGAAGGAATACTGTTGAGTAAATGCGTTTCCGCTTAAATTTCAATGAAAAACAATCTATCAACACCAATCAGATACAGATGTGGACAGAAATAGATTATACGACTAGCGTAAGATGAAATATATTCAGGCTATCGACAGCATAAATTGTATTGGCGACGACTTTCAAGAGTATAGACAAACAAAACTTGATAAAGATCAGTATCACTTTTAAATTTAAAGGTTTGTAGAAGAATAGTGTTATTTAGTCATTAGACTAGTAATGTCTACTTTCCTTTCTCAAAATATTCTTTATTTTTCAAGGTTCATTCAAATCGTAAAGATGCAGAGGAGACAGTAAAAAATTTAACACTGGAAGTGGCAGCAATAAAAGAACGTCTGGCTAATATGTACAACCTAACACAAAGTCTGATAACAGACGCTGAGAAATATGTGGATATTTATGGTAATATGAGTCAGGACAAGTTTGATGAAGTAAGTCCTCCGCATGGATCCAGTAAAAATCTCATTGTTTACCATAATGACTAGTGGTATGATTGTGAGTATGTGTGTGTGAGTAAGCATTGAAGGGCATCTTGGTTACTAGGCTTTATTTTTCTTTCAGTTCTGTAGAGCCCCTCTACGTCTGTTGATTCTCTGGTTACACCCCAAAGTTATGCAACAAAAGTAACAACCACATTATACGCAAAGTCACTGATATCTTTTCTTATTATTATTTGTACCTTGGGTTCCTAGTGGAACATACGCCTTCAGTAGCACATCATTGCACTCTGTTCTCTGGAGTCTTTTCAACCTGGCTCCATGACTGCCCACAACCTTTCATTTCTTCCTCACACGATCTCCTCTATTTCACCCTCAGGTGGAACGGCCAACTCGTCGTTTCCCATATGGGTTCTACTCGGGTGCCTGGAGCGTGATGTTTCCGTATGGTCTTCTCAGTGTATGCCCAATCCATCTCCACTTCCTTCTGCATATTTGTTGAGTGGTAGGTTGTTGGTTGGTTGGTTCCCACAGTTCCTTGTTGCTTATTCTTATTATAATGGACATCTGATCTCCAGTATTGAGAGAGGGTAGGTGGCAGCTGTTGATGAATATCTGTGGTTTGTTGCAAATGCTTTCCGTGACACACCAAGTTTCTGAACCAGCATTTAGCAGCACTGACTTGACTGAATTGGTGTTGAAAATCTGGATCTTGTTCTTGTTCAGATTAATGAAAGCCTGTCTTGCTGTCTTTTCGATCTGGTTTTGACATTCCCGTTTGTGCCGCCACCTGTAGTTGAAACGATGCTGCTCTGCTTAGGTAGGTGAGAGAGACTACTTCCTTTAGGTTTCTCCCGTCGATGGTGATTGGTGCTTGTTGTTGGTGGTGTTGGTTGGGTATCTTCATCACCTGTGTCTTCTTTACATTCATTTGAAGTCCCGTATTCGCTGCCCTGCCTCTTCTGTCAACTTGTTGGTCTTCGCCTGTAGATCTTTGAGTTTGTGCGACATTAGACACAAATCATCGGCAAAATCCAAATCCTGTAGGGTTTTTTCATCGGTCAACAGCGTATGCCCATCTCCCTCCATACAGTTTGTTTCATGATCCAGTCCAGTTGACCACAATCAGGAAGATGATCGGTGGTAGTAGGCGGCAACTTTATCTTACTCCTGTCTGTCTTCACTTCAAATGCACCACTGAACTTTCCATTGCGAATCACTTGGCATGCGGCACCACATGGCATATAGCTGTTGAATGAGGTTGATAAAGATTTATGGCACTAAAGCCGTAGTGTTGAAGTAGCTGTTAAATTACTTTTCGGTCGACGCTGTCTAAGGTTTTTTCACAGTCGATGAAGTTGAGATAGAGAGTTGACTGCTATTACACGCACTGTACTATGATAATGCGTAGCGTTGCAATTTGATCGGCACATGATTTGTACTTCCTTAATCCAGTCCAGTTGACCACAATCAGGAAGATGATCGGTGGTAGTAGGTGGCAATCTTGTATTACTCCTGTCTTTGGTTCTTTTATTTTAATGGTAGTGAAATACTTACAATAGGTGATGGATCACTCCTGTTTAACCTGTGTTAGTGTTGATTCAATGAACAAAGATTCTGTCATCAATCTCAGCCTCCATTCAGCTATATTGAATATTGGAATTATCACCTTATCCCCCCTATATTGAACTTATAAGTCAGTCCTTTCAAAGTGATAGCAGAGTTTTTCTTTAAATTGTCATAGTAGAGTCTATCATTTTGTGTTTCGCTGACTTTTCACGCTCCTCTATTCTGATTGCATCTGATTGGCTACTTTTACCTATATACTTGATCTCACAATCATTACAACAAGTTATTTGATAGATTAAATTATTTCACGTGACTGGCTGTACTGGATCTGTTAGCCTGCAATGTTTCTCTCTGATTGACTTATGGATTGAAATGCCACCCTATCCCAGTATGTTGAGAATTCTAAGTAAAATGTCTGATGTGCCTTCCTGTGTAGTGTATCAAATAAATAATCTAATATAGAATTATACTCTAAAACAGTGACCAAGTTTTAATCTTACATTAAGCTGAACGCTTGAGTTATGCGTAAAATCTAAAACACAAGATTTGTTTCAAGTATTGTATTTTATTGATAAACAACAATGACTAATCGACTACGAACCTTGTGATGAGTCTATGGGGTTATTGTCGTCAAAAACAATTTTTAGGATATGGATCAACAAGACTGTACAACAAACCTGAGCACAAAGCAAACCAGTGGAAAAAACCGAAAACGCGACATGAAAAGCACATCCAAAAAATATGGAGCATCAAGGGGACAGATGAAGTGGGAATGACTCAGTCATGAAATAGAGGAATAGATTCATTCCAGAATGCTGAAATGATGAAAAAAATACTATTACAGAAATGAACAACTTGAGTTATGGGTAAAGTAGTATTGTAAAAGTACACAAGTCATACTACTCATCAATAGTAAGTAGTATAAAGCTGCTTGCATAAAAAAGACAGACTTAGCATCGAAGTAAAAGAAAATTAAAATGGGGTAAGAAACGGATTGTCTAGTCTTTTGAGAAATATTGCCAATAAGCTAAGTGACTTCATATTCCCCTTTACCATATTCAACACGAGACAACCTATGTCAACCATTACTATCCAAAACTGGATCGTGGCTAGCTAAACAAGAATCAGGAGACACTATAAAAAGTTAACTCATAATTTCTTTCATTATTTTCATACTGCAATAATAACATTTGAAAATCTGATCACTGAGTCCACTTTACAGAAGTCAGTTATCTAAGCGAAATAAATTTGTCAAATTTATTTAGAAAAGCTTGTTGAATGTTTGTAAATTAAGTCGGAATCTCATTAATTCACTTGTCTGATCAAAATCTCTGGATTCAGAGCTTCCTTCAGATTGCCCATAACTAATTGGCAGTAATCAAATTGCACTCACCAGCGCTAGCGTGCCAGTTTGGTGACCAGTCGGATTATCTTATTTCAATCCTGAAAAAGGTTACTGTCAGTTAGAACAGCTCTATGGTAAGATCCCTGACTACGATACTGGATGGTGCAGGTTCGGATTCTAAAGGGATATCACTTCCCTATGAGTTAAAGAGATCCTATACTCGATATCGAAAAAACACAGAAAGTCAGATTAAGCAAGATTTTATGCCAACTACTTTCAACTATGTAACAAATTAATCACAATCTGAAGGAAGAGTATTCTGTTCTGGAAATGTACAGCATAGAGTGGTCCAAGTTTGAGGTGAATGCATTTCAAAATGGGACGTGGGCTAAGAACTGATAGGAAATCTAGTTTTCTCTTTAAAATTGCCAATATTTTGGTGATTTAAATGTGCAGATAAAGGATTTGATGGTAATAGGAAGGACAAGAACTAAGGAGGATAGGGGAAACATTCAGTTTACTGACGGCAAAGGGAAGAATAACGCCTGAACGAGTTCCTTCTCAATGCAGAGTTCAAGTTTGACCAAACTTATCGCCACACCCTCAGCTATGCTGATTAGGTTCAGGTGAGCTTCACTTGATATTGTTTTTGGCACACGCTGTATCAAACTAGTAACTTCATTAGCATCTATATTATGCCTTGTATCTGCCAGATGGGCTAAGACAGAAAATTTTACTACTTTCACTAAACTTTTACAAATCAAGGAGATAAATGATCTTGTATCCAAAGAAAAGCCTGTATAATTGTATGCCCTATGCAACTTGTTCCACAAGAATAGTTAAATTGGTATTGACAACATAAGGAGCCACGATTATGTAGTTTATCCTTTAGTCTTAAATTAAGCATTGTCTGTCTACTAAAGCGATGCAAACACAATCTGAATGAAGCAAAAACTTTTACTGTGCTAGCCAAACGTTATAATAAGACACAGTTTCAGTTAGTACTAATAATTTCAGGTTGGTTTTCGTCATGGACTGACATCAGTCGGAGAACGTTTGAGAACCTGGAAGAACTGAACAACTGCTTCGTCCTAGAGTGGGACTGTTAAGCAGTGTGCACCCGTGACCTTGCCAAAGACCAGTTTCAGGGTCTACAGGTACAGCGGGTAACATGTAGAGTCACTAAGTCAGAATCCAATGGTCGACATTTCCTTACTTTTGTCTATTGGCGGTATGGTGTGACCTTCATCCAGCGCCGTCATTAAGTAACTGTCATGCCATCCGACTTGGTTTGTCCCAATGGTCGCGTCTAATCATTAGAACTTCAGAAAACCTCATTATGAACTAAGTCACTAGTGATGTTAGTCCATGATCAATAGCAATTTGAAGCCAGTAAAAGATTCCTACAAATCACCAGACTGAACTGTCCACTGCATATTATTGACTTGCTCTGACATGAAATTTGCCGAAGTTCCAATGAGAAGTCATGATCAGTGAGACGAACCAGGTTGGGCGTGAGGACGGTCACCCAACGACAGCGTTAGACAGTCATGCTATTTCGTCAGTTAAGAGAAGCCGGGAAATATGGACCTCAGGATTCCGAGACAGTGGTTCGGTGATAGCGTGCTCGCCGAGGAACCTGTAGATCCTAGTTTCGTCCCCTGGTAGGTTTTTGGGTGTGAAGTGCTGAAAATTCCCATACTAGGACGAAGTAGCTGTCCGATGCTCCACGGTTTTTCAATGTTTCTCTGGCTGATGTCAGTCCATGACATATACCAGTTTGAAATCACTAAAAAATCCCGACAAACCTCTGAATTGATAGAATTATTGGTTAAAAACCTAAGTGATAACTTTCAGTTCTTATCCTGAAGCATAAAAATTAGTTTGTCTACTGAGTAAAAATGTGCTGGCTTTTGCCAAGCTGCAGACAGTTCCTGTAGATTAAATTTCACCAACAGGAAATTGGATAGATTACAGCTTTTCAATTTGGGGATTGTCTGGCTCATCACGGTTTACAACATCTCTGCATGGCTATATCACATGATGAAGCTACACAGCTCTGACTTAAGAAGTCTTGATT